GCGGACATGGCAAGCAATGCGTCCTTGCGCTCAGGGGTGAGCTTGCCGCCGCTTGCGCCAGGCCCTTGCCCAGCACCAGGTGAGCCACCTTGTGGCTGCAGCCGAGGAGGACGAACCCAAGCACCAGCAGGAGGGCGCGGCACCGCCGGTGCAGGGACCGCACCTTTGGCCTTGCCACAAGCCCAGCACGTCGTACGCCAAGGGAAATTGTTGCCGAAGCCGCACTTCTTGTTGCAGCAGGTCCAGGTCGCACTGAACGCCTGCTGCCTGCCGCCGCCATTGCGCCCCATGGGAACTGACGGCCGCAGAACTTACAGTAGCCAGACTGTAGGCTGTGAGCGAAAGAAAGAAAGAGAGATCGCAGGATCACTGGCAGGGGCGCGCCTCCCCCACGCCAAAAAGGCCTCGGTCCCTGAGCGAAACGCTACGGACTTGAGCCAAAATGGCTACGGGTCTCCCCCGTCTCCTCCCCCCCTCCTATTCCTCCTCCTCCTCCCTTCTCCCCCCCCCTCCCCCCCCCCCCCCTCCTCATCGTCGATCTCCTCCTCGTCTCCTTCCCCCCCTCCTCCCCTCCTTCCTCCTCCTCCTCTATTCCTCCTCCTCCTCCCTCATCTTCCTCTTCCTCATCGTCCTCATCTTCCTCCTCCTCTTCTTCGCCCTCCTCCTCAACCTCCCTCATCATAAGTCTCATTATCACTCAGACATCGCATGCTCAAACAGGCTGCCTGAAACTAACATCCCCCCCCCCACCCCCCCGTTTTACCCTGTGCAGTCCGAAGGCGCCGCGGTGGCGCTCGGCGCGTCGTCGTCGTCGCGGTGCATCTGCGCCTTGGACCGCTGCATGGCGATGGCCATGTCCTCGTCCTGGCTGCAGATGCTCCTGGACCGCCTGATGGCCTCCTTGAGGTTCTCGTCGTCGCTGCTGATCATCATGTCGGCGTCGCTGCCGTAGCCGTCTCCGCTGCAGCGCGCGACGACTGCGCCCAACGCAGCCTGCAACTTGTCGTCTTTCTTCTGCCGATTGGGCGTGTCCTCGAGGTCGCTGCAGTCGGAGCGAATCTGAGGCAGGAAGTCTGCTGCCGTCGTGCCGTGCGGGAGCTGGGCGTCGTGGCCAGCGTTGTGTCCTGGCGTGCTCATGGTAGGGCTGGTCGGCGCTTTAACCTCCAGCAGCTCGCGCTTCGTTCTCGCCGGCGTGGCTGGCGACGCTGGTGGCGAAGCCGCCGGCTGCGACCCTGCTGGTGGCGAAGCTGCTGGTGGCGCATCTGCTGCTGGTGGCGAAGCTGCTGGTGGCGCAGCTGCTGGTGGCGAAGCTGCCGGTGGCGACGCTGGTGGCGAAGCTGCTGGTGGCGACGCTGTCGGCGAAGCCCGCCGCGACGCTGGCGGCGAAGCTGCTGGCGGCGACGCTGGTGGCGAAGCCCGCGGCGACGCTGGCGGCGAAGCCCGCGGCGACGCTGGTGGCGACGCTGGTGGCGACGCTGGTGGCGACGCTGGTGGCGACGCCGGTGGCGAAGCCCGCGGCGACGCTGGTGGCAAAGCCAGCGGCGAGGCGCTCATGGCGACGCGCGAAATGGCCTGGCCGATGGGCGTGCGCCAAGCGTCCGCTGGGACTTTCCCAGTCCACACAACCTTCTGGGACATCGGAGCCAAAATGGCTGCATTCGGTATCAAAAAAACATTCTCCTCGCTCCTCTTTTCTACTCTTGGTTCTGGTGTGTGGAAGTTGGATTCAAATCCGACGGAAAATGTCACGTTGATATGTTTCTCTGGGTTTCCGACGGGGGATCTCACGGTGTTTTTTCTTTGGTCCAGTTGTAGCCGCTGTTTTCGGCCGATGGCGTTTGCTGGCGGTCACTGCGAAAGAAATTGAAACAGCGTGGATGCGTTGAAGACGACGACGCTGAAACCGACGACGCCGACGACGAAGGTGCAGGGGGGGAGCGAGTGAGAGTTCTTTTTATAAAGTGTAGCGCATTGGTACAAATAATACATACCCTGGTAACAGCATTGTAATGAATAAGGATTCTCGGATTTAGCCTTAAATGATCTTACATGATAAACCTCAAGATGTCAGCTCCGGCGGAAAACTGTTCGACCCCCCCAAAACGGCGGCCCCTGTGGGGCAGTGAGATATGAGTGCACAATGCCTTACAGGGGGGCGAAATATTGCGGGGGGACCTCAGAATATCATATCCGCGAAGCGTCTAGAATATCATTATCATCATCAGCAACAGCATCATCAGCATCAGCATCATCAGCATCACCATCACCATCACCATCACCATCACCATCACCATCACCATCACCAGCATCATCATCATCATCATCATCATCATCATCATCATCATCATCATCATCATCATCATGGTCAGCATCAGCATCAGCAGCATCAGCATCAGCATCATCATCATGATCAGCATCAGCATCAGCAGCATCATCAGCATCATCAGCAGCATCATCATCATCAGCAGAACCATCATCATCATCACCATCACCATCACCA